TGTCTCGCTTATGCTGGTGGGGAAACCTCTGTACAAAGATCACTGGGTAGAGTAAAATTCTGCTAATCCCTGGAACCCAGCCCTCTCGACTGCTGCTGTGACCCTCACTGCTATGCTACTATGCAGAATAGTATTTCAACTCAGACTTTGTCACAGGAAGAAAGGAGAGACATTTTCTACAGGGCTTCCAGAAGATAATGCAGTCTGAAATTGTAATAATGGCTCGAGTTAGAGAGCAGATAGTGTAAAAAGAGACATCGGTGACTTTACCCTTCAGCTATCAGACTGTTGCAAGACTACTGAAATATCAGGCTGCAGAGACTTAATATTTCCCCAGGAATCCCATGCTGGGGAAAAATGGGTTAAGCCCTGGTACCAAGTAGAGTTGGACCTGGAAGAGATTGTACACTCCTAAGAGCTTAGCTCACAGTTAACATATGCCTATTTCTTGGCTTCAGTTTCATTTTGTTTTATAATATTATCTATCACACTAAGGTAGTAAAGGATGGAGAGGAACAAGGAGACTTCTCCATAGTTTGGGTAGTTTAGATAAGTCCATTTTCCTGTACCAATTTTTGTTTTGTAAGTTCTATTAAGACACGATGCTAACGAGAGGGAGCCCACGGGTGACAGCTCTTTGAGACACTGAACAGGCTACCTGCTGACTGGGCTGGGTCAGGAAGAGAACTGGGAAACTCCTCCATCCGACCCACAGGTCTTCTGCTGGATCCAGAGAGCACCACTCAGCACAGGAGCACCGTGTCTCTGTGACCTTCCCAGCAATGGAGATATTCTAAAGGGACGCTGCGCCTCCCTTTGCTATCAGTCTACTGAGACAAGGTTTTTAAATTTTCTTGACTCTTCACATTTTCTCTGATTTTCTTAAGGGCTAAATTTACACCAGACTTTGAACTAGAAGCCCTCTTCCGGTTCCTGCCGGGTCCCGATTGTTTGCGTTTTTTATCTACTATTGCTTATCACCCACACCAGGAAACAGTCTGCAGGAGCAATCGGTCCTCCTGATCGCCTTATCCATGGGGTCAGCATCACACCACAATAGATTCTCGGTAATCTGACAAACGGCAAGATGCTCTTAGATAAATGAAACCCCAGTGAGGGAGAATTCCCATCATGCTTTTGAAAGCGCTCTGAAGAAAAACACGCAGGAGGTAGTGGGTTCTCTGTGACTAGGGGGCCATTCAGCTTTGCTGGGTTCTGGTTCATGGCTCCACAGCCCAGGGAGTGGAGACTGGGTGTTCTGAAGCCCACGATGTGATACCTGTCACAGAACAAGCAGGTCCTAGGGAAAAAACACACAGAAAAAGAAGCGCAGGTCAAGCCACAGGCTTTAGGGAGAGGATGTTCACTCCCTTGAAGAGATCCTGGCTCATGCTGGTGGTGCCTACTTCTTATAAAGGTGTTGCTCTACCTTTCTCTGGACGGCCTATGCTCACTGGCAATAGAAGATATTCTTATGCCTTCTCCAAAACACCTCGTCTGAGACCAGCCAAAACAGATTGGCATTTTGTCTCTACAGAGAGGACTCAGAAACGCGGTCCTGAACAGGGTTCCTTCAACACTGTCCTGCACCTGCCCCGGAATGCTGGGATCTTAGCGCGAAAGCTCCTCATCACCTCCCGGTTCCACGCTCGCATTCCCACTAGGGCTGTTCAAAAGACTCAGTGTTCTCAGACGTTTCTCTGGATGCAGCTTTGTCTTTTCATCTCGCACAATGCAGCCAGCATGTTCGCAAAGGCTTCCCTTTCTCCAGGAATCTCTGTTGGTCCGGAGCCACGTGGATGGGAGCCCAGGGCAGCAAACGCAGGCCACTGATGCTGGCTGGCTTATAAAGATACTGCCAAAGAAGCATGTTCACAATAATAACTGACAACATTTTTAATTGAGATAATTTACCAAATAATAGGGTTTTAGGAATTATGTTAAATCAGAATGGGAGGTGTATCTTAGGGGCTGTTTTTACCTAGCTTGCTCCAGGTCTTAGGTTTAATCTCCACATTAAAAAAAAAACACACACATATAAACAACATAGGTTTATAACTGGCAAAATGTGGTTTAACTGATTAAAGTACAGACGTTGGGCTGGTGGGCTGGGTACATAGCTTAGTGGTAGAACCCTTGTCCAGCATACACTGGATAAGATGGATAGCACGGATTAATAAAATGAATGAATGCATGTTGACTGTTATCTTGAATTTAAAAAAAATTAAATCATTTTTTAATGATTTAACAATGGCGGGAGGAAGCCACTGTTAAAAACAACGGGCTGAAATCTGGATGCAGAGGAATAGCGGCAGCTCACACAGCTGTTTGGATTCAGTAGACATTAACTGGAGGGAGCATTGGCTTGTGCGTAAACAGCCTAGGAATTACACTCTACACCGGAGTCTTTTCCTGAAGACACGCGTGCGATTGCGTCATCCCTCAGGTTCAAGTTCTTTCTCCACGAGTCATCAGAGTCACGGGATGGAAGAGGCTTTCAAACATCTGCCCTTTCTGGCTGCTGGGTTTCCATCAGAACCTTTTCCTGCCACACGGCCATTTACGCTCGCTTTGTGTGCCGGTGAATAGTCGCCATTTTACTCCACGGCCTCCTCCGAGCTCCTGGGGGCTACTCATGGAGTTGTTAGGTTGGTTTCAAACTCTGGTTCAGATATGTGTGTGTGTGTGTATTAGAAAAAATTACTGACTCACCAAAATAATTTTCTATTTAAATTTATTACCAACTAATACAGTCTTCTGAAAAGTTACTTGAGAAGAGATTTAAGGAAGCTGGAGGTGCTGCCATAGTTCAGTGGGCTACATACATTCAACACCTATTAGGCCCTTTTAAAAAAATATGAGTAATCAGGAAAAGCCAGCCGCACCAGTTAAGCGCTTTGTATTTTTCTATTCTTTCCCTACACACAGAGCCCTGAGACATTTTTATTGACTACAATAGCTTCGGATTATTTTGTGTTTAGTGCTATGTATGTCTATGCACATGTGGAGGTCAGAGACCGCGCCATGTGAGGCCCAGGAACGTCCTCAAGTTGTCAGGCTTTGGCGGCAAAAGCCTTTTCCTGCTGGGCAGCGCTGCCCACCTCACAGAGCTTTAGAATTGGTTGGGGAGAGGTGAATAAGATGTTTAAAACATAGATACTATGGTTTAACAGGATTGCGTGGAATGGGAGCCATATGGTTATTTAAGGCTCAATTTCATTTTATTAATTTTATAATTTCGTCCTATTGCATTTTAGTCCTGGGTAGGAAACCCAGAGCCTTGTCCAGGCTCAAATCCGCTCCAACCCTGAGCGCCACCCAGCCGCCCTTCCCCAGGTGATTTCAAGGACAGCCACTTACTCCATTCCTGGCTTGGGATTTTCCTGAAGCCATTTCTTCTTTAGAATGCCCGGAATTGTATCCGTTCTTTGGGAAACACTGGTCACCTGTTCTCAATTTTGTATACTAGGTCGGGATCTACTTAAAAATAAATTAAAAACCACACAAATTTTATCCCTGCCTGGAAAACGGGATCTAACTTCCACAGATGTCCCAGGGCCCGAGTGCACACTGCTGCACAGCAGAGGTTGCGGTGCCACAGTTATCGGTAGGAAATGAGCATGGGACGGTTGAAGGCAATCTTTTGGTAACGTGCCAAGTAACCAGGGCTTGAGCAAAAAACAACTTTTGGGATAAGTGCCTTTGTTATTAACCGACATGCTTGGGGTCTGCACTGTTCTCTGGTCCGAAGTGGCTGCTCTTGACCCTGCCGGAGAGGCAGCAAAATAGTGACGACGACACTAGGTAAACCTGTTTTATTTTGGCAGCATCTGGAATTCATTCTTCTTACTAGGTGATAGAAGCACCGGACTGCTCCATTTTATATTTTATTTGTTTTATCGTCTGTGTGTGATTTTACTGATAATTCTTGTCAGCCTTCAGAATAGGAAGATAGGTGTGACTATCTTTATCCCCAGCTTTAGTACTAGGGAGAGAGAAAGTGGGGAGAGAGCTATGACAACCTTTTCCACAGACTGACATGGAATTCCTGGAGATATAATGAGAAAATGCGATGTGGAGGGGGGAAAGGAGTCGGGCAGAAACAGAAAGTCACTGTGTGTAGTAACTGAAACCTCCAACCTGGCTCAAGATTGGCTCGAGATTAAATATTAGCACCGCTTACTGTTTAAGATCGTGAAGGAGCTCCCGAGAAAGTGCAATTTTGCACTTTTCTTTAGAGAAACAAAAACCAAGTGGCTGCAGCGAAGTAAATGTGTTTCGAATTATGCTCACATGAATGCGAACCCATGTTTCTGGGCGCGGTGTCTGGTGGGGCGTTTTCGCATTTCTCGGAGCTGTTTAGGATTTGACACGGGCTCGTGGGGAGCTCCGTGTCCCCCTTGAAAATCTATCACTGTGAGCTGCTCCGGAGACATTCCAGCCACTGTTTGCTGGTCCTCTCCCGACAGCGCCCACCACCCTGTGCACAACAGGAGCTGAGAAATGCTGTCTAGGATCGGAGGTGGCTCAGCGGGTAAAGGCACCTGCTGTCAAGCCTGGTGACCTTAATTTGGTCCTCCTGATCAATGTTGTGGAAGGGGTTGGTCCTCTGTGAGTTTGTCCTCTACTCACTGTGAGCGCCCCCTCCCCTGCCCCTGACAAATAAATATAGGTTTTTTTTTTTTTTAATTTAATAGTGTGTCTGAATTGCTAAAGCACCACATTCGAATCACTTTCATGGCTGAATGTAGAGAAGAGTCCACTTGTAGTATGCGTATTTTCCAAATTACTTACTGTAAATAAATGGAATCCTGTCTGTCAAGAGTTAAAGCATCTATTTGGAAAAAAATAAAAATAAAGTTCCTCTCTTTCCTCTGTCATCCTGTTCCTATGACTTACTTGTTCATTTAAGAGCAAACACAGTTGTCTTTTATTTATTTATTTATTTATTTATTTATTTTTTATTTGTTTTTGTTTTTGGCTCCTCCCCACCCCACACACAGTAAAGCAGTCAGCAGTGTCAGAGGAACACAGGAAGTTGCCTGTCTGGGGACTGAAATGCAATCAAGACCTGGCATGCGCACGACATTGTCTCGGTAGATCATAACTCTATTTCGCGACACTGCTCTGTCCTTTGACTCCCTCGTCTTCCTGTGCAGGTCCTGGGTGCGAAACCTTCCATCCCTGCTGGCTCCTCACCCTGTCCCCACCGCCGGCACTGCAGGCTATCGCTCAGCCCGGTGCTGAATGCAAAACAACAGACAGACAAGGACCACAAGAAAGAAACCAAGTTCCCCTGTGCAACTTTCAAATATCCCCTCCGAGAAGTAAGAACGAGTCAATGGAGAGAAACTGACGAGAGAGACCTGAGGGACTGAGAGGCTGCGCTTGGGAGCAAGAGGACCGTGGTGCAGAGGCACAGACATCAGGGACCTCAGTTCTGAGCTCTTTCTGGAAACTACCCCGGGAGAGAACCAAGTACACAGGGGCAAAGCAGCAGTGTCCCGTTCACGCCTACGCGTGTTTGCTCAAATCACGTGAGGTTTGTTTATTTTCATTTTCAAATGCATCAACATTACAATATCCAGCCTCTCTGAAAAAAAAAAAAAAAAAAGACGATCTGTGTCTGTGTTTGCCCTTGAGAAGCCATCAGCAGGACTGAACAGAGGTTCCCAAAGCACGGATCCTGAGAGCCCAGCCGCGCACAACTCCGACTTCTCCACCTCCCTGCCACAGGCTCCCACTGGTGTGGAGTGTAGGGTAAAGATGTCTGAAGAAGGTGAAAGGTTGTGATTTGAAACGTGCCTCTCCCTTTCACAGGCACGCTTTCCCGACTCTGTCTGAGTCCGTGCCTTTCCTTCTGTGGATGGCTTGCTGATGCTACTGTCTCCGTGGGACAGATCGCTGGATGGATGCAAATAGTTTGTAATGATTGGAACGAAAGTACCAAATGCACACTAAGCGGGATAGCTGTTAGCTTCCCCTGGTCATTCCTTTGGGTTAAGCATTACCTACGGGATGTACTTTCTTTTCAAATACAACCAGCCCTGGGTAGTCACTATATTGAGCAATGTGTGGTGTGGAATGCTGCCCTCTGGACCTGGCTGGACGACCGCATTTTTGAAATCAGAGAACCTGTGATTATCTTCAGGAGGCCCTCATGATACCAGGTGGGTTAACGTCCCCTCAGAGAATGGAGGAATGAGGAAGGTCATTAGACCCACACCTGAGATTCCAGCCACTCCTCCTCCATCTGGGCTGCTTTTAGGCACTTGTAGCTGTGCTGGGGTTGGACTTTTCCAAGGAGAATTGTTCCAGAATCCCACGTGCGCTCTTTGTAACCCTCTACCCAGGCTCTTCTAAGTAAGCCAAATAAATTTTACCAAGTTATCCTTTGGAGGAATGCTTACTTTGGTCTGTCCTTGGTGCTCTGCCAGGGATGAGGAGATGTTTGTTCACGTGTCCCAAGAAAAGTTACCCGCAAGTAATGTCTTTGAGACTTCAGAGACGATTGCCGACCAATTAGGGGCACCCTAGCTAGGGAACTTAGCATTTCACAGTCTGGGGGTCCCTCTGACCCACACATTCAGTTAGTCGCTCGAAGTGTGTTCTATTTCTAATTTCTGTTCATTTAATGCCCTCATTTAATGTCCCTTCTCTTCTCGTGTCCATGGACTCTCTGCTCCCTCTCCAGGATCTGTTCTGAGCAGATGGGACCCATGCAGGGCCCTGCAATAGACCCTCATTTCCTTCCTTCTCTTTCCTTCCCCCCCTCCAATTAGAAATCCATTCACAGGCCTGTGGTTCTTGTTCCAAGTGTCAGAGAAGCTGTAAAGGCCCATTAAGGAAAAGCTCCTTCTGGTCAAGAGAACAGAATCTCTGGCTGGACCTGATATTCCAGTTGGGCCAGTTCAAACACCTGACCTAAGGATCATCCTAGGAAGGTGGGCTCACCTTCTGCCACACTAAAGAGATGGGTGGGGAGATTGTTTCCTTAATGAGATTCTGCAGGTTTCCTTCCCAGAATCCCCACCTCCCCCACGCCCCTGCAAACCCCTAGAGAGACCTTTGCTTGGGTCTGATCACCTTTCTGGAAGGGGTAAGGATTCCTTTTTTTTTTTTTTCCCCTTGCTTTAAGATGCTGGCCAGATTTAAAAAAAAAAAAAGATGCTGGCCAGAACCTAAGTAGATCTTCTTTTTTCCTCTGACCCTCCTTACTCTTTCTACACTGCTTCCCTGGCATCGGGTGGCTGCGCACTGGCCACGAATCCGCCTTCCACATCTTCCTGCTCCTCATTCTCTTCTTCCAGCAGCTGCTGGAATTCACTTCGCCTGCCGTCCGTGAATGAGCTTCAGCTTCAGTCTGTTCTCAACTTCTCTTATTAACAAGACTAAGAACCCCCAGAAAGGGCTCTATTTCCCCCAGCATCATCTGGCAGCCATGAAGGGATTCCCCCAAATCCGACGGACACAAGCAACCTATCTTTTCAACTCAACCCTTGCTTAGAGTTCATGCCATCATAACCTTCCTTCCGCTCTTATCTTGTCCTGTTTTACTTGGGTGCAGTAAACACAGCCTGAATCCTGGTGCTTCTCTTCCGAGGTCACGTCCACGTATTCTGCAAGCCCATTGTGGCTGTAACCATAAAACGTGCTGCTTCAGGCCTTTCCCGGGTCACCTTTGCCCTAGCATTTGCCTCAATTCCATATCCACCCCCCAACTCCCACCCCACTCCCAGCATAGGCGCAAGTTTTAGCTGGCTCCTTGCCAACACCACTAAGAGACACGCTGTACTTAACATTCCTTTTAATGTTGTCTACCTACTTATTTAGAGACAAGGTCTCCTTGCGTAATCCAGGTTGACCTGGAACCTGTGAACTTCCTGCCTCAGCCTTCTGAGCAGCTGGGACTATGGGCCTGACCCGCCACGCCTATCTGGCCTTTAACATTCTTTAACAAAGGGTAGGTAATTACAGATGGACATGAACAGACATCATGGAAATCCACTGGACGCTTGAGTTTTTAAATCGGGATTCCTGAGCCACATCATACTTGTGATCTCTGCACTTGGAAGGTTGAGGCTGTAAGATGATCACAAGTCTGAGGCCATCCTGGATGATAGAAGGAGATCCCGTCTAAACAAAAGAAGCAACAGCTACGAAGGGTGGTGGTCACCCTGAACCTGGCAGCTCTTTACAGAAGCTGGCATCTTTCTTGTTCCTTTCCTCCCCACCCCCATCCCCTGTTCCTCCTACAGAAAATGGTTCAAAACATAATAATCTCTGCAGCACGGGCTCTGCTCCCACTGGAGTCAGCCTTTTTAATCATCGAAGACAATATTGAGCACTGCAGGCTAAAGCAGCTGTATTTAACTTATTCATCGGTACAGGATTTCTGCAAAGACATTTCCACGGCTTTTTGTGGCTCACGGAAGTCCCTGCTTACCCAAGAAAAGGAACATTTACTCAAGGATAGTCTTTGATGCCATCACGTGCCTGCTGTACTTTCAGCTCCTGGGCTTCTGGGACATCCTTAAGGAGGGAGCGTTTCCTTAGGGGCTGCGTGAAGAACTGGCTGAAGAAAAGAACGTATTGAACCCCTACCGCACACACCGATGGGGCTCCAGAAGTATTCTGATGTCATCACCTGGTTCTCCCTTCCTCCCCCCCCCCCTTTGAGGATTTCCAAATGTTATCCAGATGAACAAAACTTGAATTCCAGAAATTGTAGTTCTTGCTCTCTCTGTTACCACAGGAACCAAAGCTAAACGAAAACACACACACACACAAACCCCCAAACTGGAAGGGTGAGGAAATAGGGTGGATTTGGGTAACCTTTATGTTCTGCACAGGTTTTGAATTTCAGGGTGGATACAGGAGACCTAGGGACCCCTTTGTCCCTTCCCCCGCTGTACAGGAAGGTGAGAACTTTGATTAGAGGAGAAATACTCTGTGTACCAAGCTTGGCTTCCAGCTTCCAAGGTTTCTGCTGCTGATACCAAACAATGTATTCTTCACACCTGTGTCAGACAGGGGCGGCGCCTCCTGGCTCAGCCAAGGCTCCAGCACCTCACATGATAATGGATGCCACAGCACCCCCACCCCCATTCCCCGGTCCTCATTTCCTCCTTTGCTCCCAACGGTACGTTGTATTTCGCTGGAAAGCACCCCGTGACTGCAGCAATAAGCACTATATAAATAATAAATGGAATGCAATGCAGTCGGAATCGTCTTGGACCCCCGACTTTGGCTTCCTTCCCAAAGCAGGCAGATTTCGACATGCAAAAGCTGCTTCTCTGACAAGCTGGCTTTCCCTCCTCCCTTCTCTAAGACTCCGTTCACTTGCTTGCTGGAAGTTTTGTGCGCCTGTTTGGAAGTGAAGGGATATTGACGGTCTTCCATCTCCAGCGTTCACGATGGCTATGTTCAGTGTGAGGCATCCCTCAGTGTGAAATACAAAGAATAAAGGCAGAGGAGGGAGAGTAAGAGAAACCATGAGCTATACAAACCCAGAACTAAGCACAAGCAATAACCAGTTGCTTTCTTGAGCCACATTGCTGTCACGCTAAGGTGATGTAGGAATACAAGGAACCTTGAGACACAGACTCCATGTCCAAATGAATGGCTATAAATTGTGACCCTTTGGAAAAGAATGGCGGCCGAAGCAAGAAGTCTGTTGCTATTGGACAGTTTATACCAGACAAGCGTCTCCTTCGCTCTTGGATGGGCTTTGGGGCTAGGAAGGAAGGAAATTTGTTGGAGACAATAGTCATAGAGATACAGAACAGAAAAGCATCAAATAGACCGGGGATCCATGGCTGACAGATAACAAGTCTAAGCTAAAGAGACAGGGGTTCACCGCTAAGGTTGCTTCTCACTGTGTGCAGGGAGGCTTTGCACACGAATCCTCCGCCGATCATGCAGCCTTATAAATACCACAACACAGAGAAGTGAGCTGGAAGACAGATTTTTTACTACAGAGAGAGACTTGGGACACAGGCCCTCTGCACACGAGGCAGGTGCCCTCCTGGGTACAGCTGTCCATGCAGCCTTTATAGTCCCTGAACAGGATGTAAGATTTGTAAGTTTATGGATCATAGTAACCATGGAAACAATTTTTTTAAACAAAGGGAGAAATAAAATCAAATGAGAAGAGAATCATCTGCAAACTCTGTAGCTGTTTGTGATCCAACAACCTCTTACAAAGAGTTGGATGGGCCACTTCTGACAGGAACAGAGATTTTTATTTCCTATCTGCCCTTCATATAATATTATATATAACTGATCTATTTATCTGTTAGTTATGATCTAATATGGAATCTTAGAAAGAGCATTCTCTCATTATCTGAATGTAATTGGAGGTTTTTGTAATCCAATGTGTGCAGCAGTTAAAGGTACTTTTCTTTTTTTACTTCCTAAACAATTAATTATACCAAAGACAACTATTCTATAATTAGTACAAATCAAAGTCATTGGGGGCTAGAGCTATGGTTCAGTGGTAGCATACATGCTTAGCATATGGGAGGCCCTGGGTTCGATACCCAGGACACACGGTCACTGGCCAGTTCAGAGCTGAAGTCCTTGTGTCTGCTGCTGATGGAAGAAGAGAAGAGCTGAAGGAGTAACTCGGTCTCTCAAGCCCAACGTTTGCAAAGTTAGATTAAGACCCTGCCTCAAAAAGTAGCAGCAGGGGCTGCAGAGATGGACCCGGTAATGAAGGGAACTTGCTGCTCTTGCAGAGGACCTGGCTTGGTTTCTAGCACCCACTTGCAGGCTCACCACCTGTCACTCCAGTTCCAGGGAACCCAATGCCCCCTCCTGTCCCCTTCAGGTTCCTGCACACATGTGGTGCACACAAATTCACTCAAGTGCACACACATATACACTTTGATTTCTTTTCCTGAGGAGAGATACAACTTTAGTTGGGGAACACTGTTCCCCAAGATGTTTATTGTATCATTACATACTGTTAAAAAACAAACCACAAGTGCATATTAACCTATCAAAATACTGTTAATTATTAAAGTGAGCATTGGAAACTTGTTAGAGACTATTTATAATAGAAGCCTGTATGAAAAAGCTAGGAATGACTGCATTTTTTTTTAAACCAGTACATGTCTTGGTAAATACGGAAACCTGAAGTCGAAAATGACAACTGTTGCCATAGGTCTTCTTGCATTTTGGTTAATTATATGTTTTTGTTGTTGTTTTGTTTTTCGAGACAGGGTTTCTCTGAAACTTTGGCGCCTGTCCTGGAACTAGCTCTTGTAGACCAGGCTGGCCTCGAACTCACAGAGATCTACCTGCCTCTCATTAAATACATCTTTTAAGTGGTGCATTAAAACAGAAATTACATGTAGCGGGCTGCTCAGATCAGCCAGTGGTAGAGCACTTAGTGAGGTCCTGAATTCACATTCTTCGTCCTGTTCTTTACCCTCTGGTCTTACTCAGCTATCCCATTTCTATTACCAGCTTTTCTTTCTTTTGTTTTTGTAGTACTGGGAATTGAACTTACAGCCTCACTAAGTGCTCTACCACTGAGTGACCCGCTCTTTGAAATGCACAGCGCGTTACTGGCATTGCGGTCACCCTGCTACCCCAGTGCACACTGGGACTTCTCCTCCTTACCTGTGGCATTTGTTTTCGTCTAGAAGAAATTCTTGTTAATGAGTCTGAATATTTCTCGCGTGAGTGTATTTACGTTTGCACCTGTGCCAGCGCCTATCGAGACCAGAGGAAAACCCAGGGCCATTCATCAGAGTCCATGTTTTAGCCAGGCTCTCTCCCAGGCCAGGGACTGGCAGAGTAGACTGGGCTGAGTGGCTCGTGAGTCCCAGGGCTTCTCCCACTTCCACTTCTCTGATGCTCTGGCCAGGAGCTTTTCTCCTGGGTTCTGGGTATGGACTGCTCGCACATCCTCTTACTTGCAAGGCCAGCCTCCTTAGCCCAGGCTTTGAGAATTTCTAATGCTATCCTTTTCTAATTATAGGCAGGAGCAAACAGGACAAAGGGGTCAGAAAACTCAGTGTAAGAACACTGCTGCCCAGTCACAATCAGGCACTAGCGAAAGCACAGCCTTTGTTTGGCGCTGCCTCATCTTGCCCTTGATCGCCGAGCCTTATAGTGTCAAACCAGCTGAGGGAACCATGGGTCTTCTTCTTCTTCTAATGTGTAAGTCTTATTTACAATCAGGAACTGTTGTTGGCTTTGTATTTTTCCAATGTTTAAGGGCAGCTCCATGTAATGGCAGAGAAACTGATCAGAGCTTAAGCCTTTTCTTTTCTTTTCTTTTTTTTTTTTGGTTTGGTGTGTGGCTCTATGACTATTATTTTTTAAAATGCATAGCTATTCCAGCACAAAGGCAATAAATAGGTACGGAGGGAATGCATGGCTCAGAGCTTATTTCCAGTTAAAGCATAATTACAGTATAGAGCACAACATGCCTTCCTTATTTTCAGGGCGCATTTATAAAAATGCAGTAACACATGAATGACTAAAATAATAACTTGAATAATATTTTACAAAGCCCTTCCTTACCCATTATCTCTACAGTCCTACACAAAGTAAAATACTGGTCTACAAATGGCTAATAATACCTTTCATTTGCCTTTCCACTTGGATTTTTAAGATAATCACTACTACAAAGATGTAGAGTTTTAAAACCCGTCTAAGTACAAATGCCATGGGGGGGAACTACTTTGTGGCATAATACACCTTGAAGGGGGCTCTGCGTGCGTGAGCATTTATTCTCTACAATCAGCAGAAGTCAGGGCTGAACTCACGTCATTTGTCCAGAAAGTGAAATTCCCGAGGTTTTGTAGCCTAAAACATCAATGGGAATCTAGGTGTGATAAAAACCTGGGGTCCCAAAATTTTCACTTGCGGCAGCCACCATTAGAAGCTCACAACGCTTGCCCAGCATGTGCCGGACCCCCGGTTCTATCATCAGTACTGGGTAGGGAAGAAGTCTTGTGGAACAAATAGGAAAAAAAAAAATGATTTTCCCAGACAATGGGATGAAGTCAGTGCTTATAATAATCGCTTAGATAATCCCTTAGAGGCCCAAGTCAGTTAAAGGCTTGTTCCCTAGTGTGGCACTCGTAGGTGATGTAATTGAGGCTTCCTCCCATCGGCTCACATATTTGAATGCTTGATTGCCAGCTGATGGAACTGTTTAAGAAGGATTCGGAGGTGTGGCCTTGTTGGAGAAGGTGTGTCACTGGGTGGGCTCTGAGGCTTCAAAAGCTCAGCCGTTCCCATTTAGCCTTGTCTTGTGTTTGTGGCTCAAGATGCAAGCTCTCTAGTACTGCTCCAGCACCATGCCCGCCTGCCCGCTGCCATGCTCCCTGCCATGAGGGCCACGGACTCCGTCTCTGAAACTGCCAGCCTCAACAAACGCTCTCTTCTGTACGCTTCCTTGGTCATGGTGTCTTCACAGCAACAGAAAGGCAACTAAGACGGGGGTGGGGGTGGCAATGAACACTTCCTGAGCCGGGTCTTAGCAGGTGTTGATTCCTCTGGGAAGCCAGGACTCTTATATTTTCCTCACTTCCTGGATGCCATGATACTTCCCAGATGGTGAGCCGCTTTGGCACAGACCCAACTGAGCACGGACTAAAACCTCCATAGCTAAGAGCCAAAGTAGAGTTTTCTTCTTCGTAATCTTTGTAAATTGTTTGCATCAGTATGGGGGATCTATAAAGCAGAAACATAGTGTGTGTGTGTGTGTGTGTGTGTGTGTGTGTGTAGTGTCATGGCCAAATATCCTGTGTTGTACATCACTGTGTCTGCTCTACTCGAATCTGAGCAGTACGCACTGTAGATCCGTTTACAACTACATCATCCTAAGTAGGTCATGCTTTGAGGTAAGACAGCATTATGACTCAGCTATGATGTCATAGGTGATAGGAATTTTTCAGCTCCTGACAGCCTTAGGGGACCACCATAGTAGGTATAGGCTATGACTGATGGAGAAGTCACTAATATGCATATCACTAACTATCTCTTCCCTTGGTGCTGGGGATAGTACCCAGGACCTTGTGTATGCTAAGTATACACTCTTCCACTGACCAGTCCCGGCCCCATAATTGCTGCTGCTTCGTCCTCGCCAGAATCCTCTGGCCTAGAAAGCAGCACTGATATAGATTTCAAACTAAGATCATTGGCTCTGGTTACCATATCAATTGTTGCAGGGTTTTTCCTTTCTTAGTGCTTGGAGCCACTATGTTAAGACTCCCATCACGTGACAGCCGTTATGGTGGGACAGAAACTTGACTTCCAGGGTCCTGATTGCCACCTCCCTTGTTCAGTTAATAAATTTGGCCATCAGATTTTTATTTTTCAAGAGACTCACCCAGGTTTGGTTCCTAATTTCAAAGCCCATGCTTTTGACATGTTCCTTTTAACTGCTTACCAAGCTGAGTCAAGGGTAGTGTCTCAGCTCTTAGCCACCCAGTCATGACTGGTTTCAGAGATGGCTTGTGACGTGGTGTTTCTGTGTCTCTCCATTTGCTCTTAGTTCATTCGGGACAATTGCAGTTTTAGTGGTCTGTACCCTTTAAAAAAGTTGGCAAAAATGTATCAAGACATTACCATTCGGTTTAAGTTTAGCTCTCTCTCTCTGACTCAGCCCACAGAGATAATTACAGAATAAAATTTTAGGGTGGCTTTGTAATGCGAGTTTCAGTGCTTTTGCTTTAGAGACCAACAAAAGGATGATACAGAGCAAAAATAGGAGGCTCACACGATGTAATGAAGACTCTCCTGACTCAGGAGATGAGTTAGTTTTGTTGTGATCCAAAAATAAACAAACTGACTTTACGAGTGGTATTTTCCTTGTCTTTTGCCACTGAAGTTTGTTCCGTAAGATTCAGTTTTCATCTGCTTATTTAAGTAGCCAGAGTGTTAACTCTGATACCTGTAATTCATCAAAATGTGTTAGCAATGAGTTGATAAATAAGAAATGAATAGCGAGATGAACAATGAATAAGTGTTGAATCAGCTAATTATTTTGAGCAGGGAGTTTGAACAATGGCCAATGCTCAGAGCACGAAACTTTTTTTGTATTTTTTTTATATTACTAGAGCAAAAGGAACAGGTGATGCTATCACACTATCAGTAAGCTTTAACACACGTCAGATAAATTATCCACAACATATAAATATCTCTAAGAAAGAAGGGGGCTGGCATGGCAGAACATGACTGGAACCCCAGCATTCCAGAGACTGGGGTAAGAGCAAGGAAAGCCCCAGGTCAACCTAGGCTACAAAGCAAGCTCTTATCTCAAGAAAAAACACACAGCAATAAAGCAAAATCCTTCACCACCAGCAAGAAGCTTGTAAGGAAATTGAGGTTGTGTGTTACAAGCTTCAATGTAGTTCTGTCTTAGTGCCCACGTCAGTGTTTCAAAGGACCGTGTTCATTTCTTCTATGTCTATTTTCATTAGAAAAAAATAGCAGGTGCTGGGTGTTGGTGGTGCACGCCTTTAATCCCAGCACCTGGGAGGCAGAGGCAGGTGGATCTCTGTGAGTTCGTGACCAGCCTAGTCTATAAGAGCTAGTTCCAGGACAGCAAGGGCTGTTACAGAGAGAAAAAAAGAAAAATAGCAAGCCAAGCAGGCTCAACAAAAGTTACTTGAGAAAATCACATTTTTGTGTTAGTGATTTGTGGTGATTTGAAAGAAAATGGCCCCCAAAGGGAGTGGCACTATTAGTGGATGTGGCCTTCTTAGAGGAAGTGTGTCACCGTGAAGGCAGGCTTTGAGGTCTCATAGATCCTCAAGCCAAGCTCAGTGTCTCAAACCAACTCCTGCTGCCTGTGGGTCAAGCGGTAGAACTCACAATTCCATCTCCAGCACCATGTCTACCTGCATGCCACCATGTCCCACTGTGATGATAATGGACTAAACCTCTGGAAATGTAAGCCACAACACTAAATATTTTCCTTTATAAGAGTTGCTGTGGTCATGGTGTCTCTTCACAGCAAATAGAAACCCCACCTAACACAGTGATTTTCTTGGAATTCTACACTGTGTCCTGTTTGAAAAACTGAAAACCAATTATTTTTCTTCTTAGTTTACTAACAGTGAGGACTGAAATTTTTATTTTAAAAAACATTACATGCTTTTTTGTGTTACTGCTTCCCTATCACTAACATGATATGATATATAACATCTCTTTCTCTAAATTCTATTTTAATGTTTGGAAAAGAATGAATAACCCCAAAGTTATAAAAGTTGCAATGGATATTTATATATTATATATACACAATATATTAAGAGTAATCATATATATGTGTGTATGTGCGCACACGTGCCTTGTATATCTTCGTGAAAAGGTCAGTCTGTCTATCACTTGTGAAGTTGTATAGATTTTTTTTAAATCAAGTTTCTGGAGAAGATACACACATGCACTGAAATGATAAAGGAGGCATTGATTAGCCCTGCAGTCACATTAGTATAACACAGCCTTGGGATCCTACTTGCTTCCACGCCTTTGCATTAATAATGCATGCACATATTTGCAAACAGAATTTTTGCAATCCCGGGCTGCAGGGTTCTTGGCAGAGGCACTTTGGTTAGGACCTTTCACCGTGTTTCACATAATACCAAGTCACAAAATTGTATATAAATTTGGACTTTTATTTCGGTCAAAGGTGCCTTGCCAGGTCTTTTCTAAACAAATTTTCTAATAGAACTCACAGCTGGGCAGTATGTGTGTATGCACATGTGTGCGCTTGTGTGTGTGTGCACGCGCACACGGAAGCCAGAGGTCAGCAGCTGGTGTCCTCCTCTGCCATCACCTCTATCACTCAGCGTCATTTCATTTTATTTCTGTGTAGGGGACGCACTTTCCACGTGTGTGGAGGTCGGAAGACAACTTTCCTGAGTTGGTCTCTCCTTCTACATTTATTTATTTTATGTAGGTTCTCAGGCCTCCTTGCTTCTGCAGTGTCTTTCCTGACTGGACCAGCTCCCTAGCCCCCTGACTCTTTCCCAAGTGACCTCAGCTGATTTGGTAATGACACTATGTTTTGGAAATAAGTATCCCGGACATCTATAGAAACATTTTTTTTCATGTCTCATACCACACAAAAAAGTATCTTTCTTTTCATCAGTCTTGTTATTAAGTAAAACTGAGATGTTTCAGTGTTTCTTCATTTAGCTGACTTTTAAAAGACAAATTTTTATACAGAATGGGAGATTTTCCTCTGTTTGCTGATCATGAAGATGCAGACAAGCATCCTGCACCTCCATCTCCAGCCTCTCGCCTTCTCCATCATGAGGGATCATGCCTCGGACTCATGAGCTGAAACAGATCTTTCTCCCCTCAAAGAAAAGCTTCATAATGAGGGTTTTATATGAGAGTATTTGTCCTTTAGAGACAGAAAATATTCAAGCGCCAAACTGTTTCCCTTTTTCTTTTCATCTACTTGAAGTGAATTATGACACATTGATATATGTTTAGAAATAATGTAAATTCTCAGCCAAAGAGGGCTTTTATTTGTATATTCATTGTAATTCAGTGTTTCAATTGAAAACAGCTTTAGAAGTCTACAACATTAGAAAAAACTAGGTATTTGCTGGGGGCTTGTGCTGTCTTCTTTCTTTCACATCAGACGATGAAAAATTCTATCAGTAAATATTTTTTTTGAACCAGCTCTGATGGCACTGGTCTTTAATCCCAGCACTCAGGAGCCAGGGAGAGGCACATAGACTTCTGTGAGTTCAAGGCCAGTCTGGTCTGTACAGGGAGTTAGTTCCAGGACAGCCAGAGCTACATACTGATACTCTATCTAAAAAAAAAAATGCTTGAAAAGACTGGTTTCCGGGTTTTCTATAGTCAGAGGATCACTTCTTGTTTGGCAGGCACAGGCAAAGCCCTACATGCCCCGGGGAAGGGCAGTGTGCATGTACTGTGTGTTCTGTGTTAGCACACAGAGAACAGCCTTCTGAAGTGGGGACTCTTCTTCCACCATGTGGGTCCTGGGGATCAGATTCAGGTTTTCAGGTTTGGTAAAAAGTGCCTGTACTCACTGCGTCATCTCTCTGACCCTTCTTTAGCATGGAGAAAAATGTTCCTTCTGAGTAGAAAAGACATCAGTGAGCCCCAACAGCATTGACCTGCCTCATTCCGATGGCAGTTCTCTGAGCTGCTCCAGCTTGTTGCTTCCTGGAGGCTGCACAGACCTGGATAATAACCAACAACATCCTGCCTGCTTCTCCCAGCAAGAACCCCTCACATCCTATACTCTAGCTTTTGTTTGTTTGTTTGTTTTTGTTTTTTTGTTGTTTTTGTAACGTCTCCCTAATGAGCATCCTCTGATCAACTCCTTGCAGCCGTCTGATAGGCTATGAAGGATAATTGCGCTGGAAAATGAGGCCAGATTGTTAAACAATTAAACATTGCTTTCCCAAATAAGATGGTGCATAAAGAGTTCACGTCTCTGCTCCCCCCGTGTTGGAGCAAACTCCTTCCCCTCCTCACCCGGAGAGTTACCCAGACTATCTCAAACAAGTGACCTGCCACAAGTCGCATACAGAATCTCTTTATGTTTAGTCCCTTTGCTCGGAGCCCAGGGGTTGCCATGGAAACGGTGACTGGCTAAGTTTGGCTAGGAATATCTGCTGCTAGATGTGCCTCACATTAAGCACAGAGCTTTCCTTCCTTCACAGAAGGAGCGATGACCTGAAGAGCAATATGGTTGGGCCTATGTTTACTGTTTGCTTCTTTCTTCCCCGCTCCCTCTCTTCCTCCATCCCTCTCTTTGTCCTTTGTTACATTTTTATTGCCCCAGCCGGGCTCTAACTCATAGCCTTCCTGTCTCACTCTCGGGAAGCACTAGGATTACAATGTGACACCATTCTAATCCATTCTTAAGACATCGTTTTAGATTTACAGCAATTACTTTTAAAATAATCTCATGAACTTTATTGTTCAATTAAATCGTTGCAGATGAACAAAAGCATCACTCACCAAAAATAGCCAGACCCTCAGTCTGCACGCTGCCTTGAACTCCTAGACAGTTAGCATAGGCATTCGGGACAGAAGCTGTGGAGGTTCATGTTAAATTTTATACTTTCAGTATCAAATGTGTCTTATGCATGCACCATCCACCACCAATAACAAAACAAAAATTTGTGACAGAATTAGAACTAGAAAAAAATAGCTTTATGTCCCTTTCATAACCAGTGTCCATCTTTGCATCTGTCCAACACAATTACAAGGATCCTAGATTGAGACTTTCCTATATTGGATGTCATTCCATCTTACAGATATGGAGATAGGCTGTCAGACGTTAAATGATGCTTCAGGACCACTGATGTGGTTTGGACATTGCTTGAGTGAATCCCTCGATGGTGGATGTGTGGAAATTTAATTTCTTTTTTTGAGATGGGATATTACTACCCTGTCCACAGGCACTGAAACTTTTTCACTCAAGACATTTTCCCAGTTAGTTTTCCAAGGGTCTGGGGGCAACTATGTTATGCATTGAAATTTAATTCTCACGGAGAGATGTTCCGAAGGCAAGCTGACTATGATGGTCAGAGGTGGCTTTTCGGGGTGACTGGGATTGGGTGAGGTCGTAGTGTGGCGTTCCCTGACAGAGGAGACACTGACTCATGCAAGCATCTCCATCTCTTCCCTCGGCACTCATTGCACTAATCCAGGGCTCCGCCAGCAGGAAGGGCACCACCAGATGCAGCCTCTTGCCCTTCATCCTGCAAGGCTGTGAGCTAAAATAGACAAAAACTCTTTTCTCTAAGACTTGCCTGGACTCTGGAAGCTATTAGCAAGAGAATCAGACAAACGCAGTTACTGAGCAAGGACTCAGATACAGGTAAGGCTGATACCAGAATATTCTGCATTCTGTGGCTACCAACCATTCAGACTGCACACATGTCTTCACTACCTTCATGGTCCACTTCCCTCTCCATATTTCTAGACAGCTTTTATCTTTATGGTTCTACAGAAATTGACTTACTCAAGAGTCTAAAATTGTTTTTGCAAAATCGAAAACTTTTCAGTCTTCCAAAATTGTGGTGATATTTTACATAACGTTCAATTCCCAGAAATATTGCAGATTACATAACTTGAAAAATATTTTGCTACAAAATGCCTGTCAATAGAGGGGAAACAGTGGATGCAAGGCTGATTTCATAAGTGCCATCAGCAGGAGACAGGAATGCAGGGTCATGCGTATAGGGGTTATAGGGATCGAGTTCTATGCAGAAGTGGCTGGTACAGGGGAAAGTCCAGTAATATGAATTTAAGTGTCTCCAGGAAGTGAAGCTTTGTACAAGACGATGATCCCAAATCAATCCCTAGCATGAATTCGGAATGGTCAAAAGGCAATGGCTATGCTGGACATAGTGGCGGATGCCAGGGCTGGGTAGGTGGAGGCAGAACAACGAGAAATATGGCTACATGGTGAGTTTGAGGCCATGCTGGGTTAGTAAGACCCTGTCTCAACTAAACAGAACACAAACAAACAAAGCAACGGCCTCAGTGAAATTGTAGACTAGTATATGCCAACACTTTATCACTAGTTAGACCCTCAGCCTCAGGAGCAAGCACAAAGGTCGCTTTTGACTAGCCCAGGCTAGCCTGGAACATGCTACATGGCCTAGTCTGGCCTCAAGTTCATAATTCTGCCCGAGTCTCACATGTGCTGGAATCAGAGTGTGAATCGTCACCATACCCTGCCCGACAAATGCTTACTGACTTCCGTCTTTCACAGCAATGTCAGGCCTGGTCTATTCGCCACACAGTCAGCCAGGTGTGCTTGTGGTTTGTCACTCTCAGAACTTGCCAGCGCTGCCTTTGCCTCTTTTGCACATCCGATGCGAGGTCATTCTGCTCGTCTCATTTCATGTCTTGTCCTTTGCTAACATAGAGCCTTGTTTTAGGTGACAGTAAAGTCAAGATACAATATTTTATAACTATATGGGCACCTTTAAACACTGAGAACTTTGTAATAGCTGGGTGTGTGCGTCACGCACCTGAAACACACATGTACATATATACACACACATTGCACTTTTACATGAAGATAAAACCTGTCCTGGTTGAATGGATTTGTCAAGGAAGATAAAGGAAAAATTGGTAGATCAAGACAAGGGAACAAAAAAATGGTTTCTAATCACAACACCAGAGGCTGCTTCTCTTTGTTCATTTATTGTTCTGGGTTTTATCTTACTTTCCTAACTGTGTTAATGTCCTTGGTGATTAAAAAAATTGAACTAATATCTTCTGTTGCGTTTGCCTCCTCCTCTGATTACGTTCAAGGTAAACATCTCCAGGAATTTTCCTCTGGTCTAAAGTAGATCATTTTGGGAGCTACCTCTTTAAAGATTATAATGGTTCATCTATAAGATCTTTCATTTCCTATGTACTCTCCAAATCAGTTCGTTGTAGGTTTTTTGTTTTTTCTATTCTGGCCCCCTTTCTCTTTCTCTTTCTCTTGAAATGCTTTTGATTTTAGTATTGTATTGCTGAAAAAAACACTGAAGTGCTTTTGAAGTTGTGATGGCAGAAGTCTTTAGGGAATATGAATTATGCTTTTAACTTACTTCCTATCAGACTAAAAGTAATATACCTGGCTGAAATATCAGCATTTCCCCCACACATTAGAAAGTTATAATCAGTGGAAATGTGATATGTTTGTCTTTTCATGAGTTTTCTTTTTCTTAATTCCTTTAGATGCAGGCATCTGAGAGGCATATTGCCCAGTGGAGCATTCTTGACTAGCCACTTAAGTGACACCTCCATTCTGTTGGACTTAGACCTGAACGGGCCTGGCTTCCCCCTGTCATAAAGCCTGTGGCAAGGGTTTAAAGCCCCCAGAGCAGAGACTGTGTGCTTAGAGCTACAGAGAACTCAGGCTGTGATGTTCTAAGCATGTCAGTCTTCATAACCCTCATAGAGCACTGGCAAGAAGGTGGTAGACATGTGTGTGTGAGAGAGAGAGAGAGAGAGAGAGAGAGAGAGAGAGAGAGAGAGAGAGAACAATTAACCACAACAGAAGGACTCAGAGGCAGAAAAGGACAGATGGCTCTTGTTCCATTCTACCCCTAACTACAATTCCCATTCCTTACCAGAAATGGGACAGGGTACCAAATGACCTAAGATAAAGATCCATGCTATGTTCATGTCACCGAATTGTTTAAAATCACAATGTAATGAATACGGTGAGAACACAGAGAACGAAAGTAGAAAAAGACCTGTGGATCTAAGCCGAGGGTTTCAGCAGAAATACAGATGACTAGGAAATATTTTAGAAACGGTTCACCATCTTTAGGCATCAGGGAAATGGAAACGAAACCTGCTCTGCGATGGTATCCTACCCCAGTTAGAATGGCTAAGGTTGAGAAAACCAAAGATAACAGATGCTGGCGGGGACGCTGGGCACGAGGATCCTCCTGCACTGTCTGCCGGAGAACAAACTGGTGCGGCCACTCGGAAAATCAGAGAGGTGGCTCCTCTGGAAAGCAGAAGTAGATCTAGCGTATAACTCAGCCAGACCACTCTGGGGCACATGACCACAGGGCTTTGTTTTCTGCTGCAGAGTCCCACGCTCACCCATGTTCATGTATGTGCTGTTCACACAGTAGCCTAGATGTCCATCGGCCGATTAATAGATAATGAAAAGGGGACACAGACACGAGGGGATTTTATGCAGCTGTAAATAAAAGCGAATTTTCGGGTTGACGGCTGGAACTTGAAAACATGCCAAACATGAACATGAGACCACCCAAACCCAAGGAGACACATGTCATGTGGTCTCACTCACATGTGGACCATGGCATCAAATCTATAGATATGTGTGTTTAATCTGGAGTACCGGTAGATTTAGGGAACTGGAAAGGGACCATTCGTGGGAGAAGAAAGAAAGATCTTAAGTGTGGGGGGGGGGGGGATGAAATACAGGTAATAAGGAGGAGAAAGGGGGAGTCATAGGGAGGAAGGATTAAGTAGAGAGAGAGAAGGGAGAGGCAGGATGGGAGGGGATGAAGAATGGGATAACTCACCCTAAGGATGTTTGAAAAAGCCATATATGGAAACTTACTATTTCGTAAATATACACACACAAGGGGAGGGGGAATTAGTTTTCTTTAAGAGTAGGGCCACCGTTAGGTCAACCAGACTCCAGAGGATGCCCTCATGCCCAGGAGAATATCATGTAGCACAAATTAGACTCTGTGGGATTCTAAAAAAAAAAAAGATATAAAGCTGAGCTAGTAAGTTGGAGTGGATAGGGAGCTGAGGGTGGATCTAGGGGAAGCTAGGGGAGGAAGGGGATGAAAGTGTTCTAAAAAAATTATATCAAATCCTCAAAAAATTAATAAAGTACTTTAAATTAAAAAAATGAATAGCCACCAAGTAAGCGATTCACAGGTGAT